CTCAATCTCCAAGTTCAGCCATGCCTTTGGCCGGCTGCAGAGCTCCGCGTGTCAAATCATCAGGGCCTTCAAATGAACACTAAACTGGGGATGTACAAGGCCGTCGTCTTGGTGACAATTCTGTACGAAGTAGAGGCCTGGACCGTCTTCCCCCATCATTCTAGGAAGCTGGATCACTTCCATCGCAGCTGCCTCCGCAGAATACTGAATCTGAGATGGCAAGACAGAACCCCGAACATGTAATTCCTTGAAGAAACCGGAATCATCAGCATCCACGCCATGCTGAATCAACCTCAACTGCGATGGAACGGCCACCTGGTGAGGATAGACTGTGAGCGGTTATCCAAACGAATCTTCAACGGAGATTTCGACAGGGGGGACAAAATGACGCTGCAAGGACATCGAAGAATTCTCTGGCCTGGAAAGACTCAGCACAGAACCGACTGGCCTGGAGAAGAGAAGTGAAGACTGGAGCAGCTGTCTGTGACGCCAACCGGATCGCCGCTGCCAAAGCGAAAAGGGCGCCTCTGACCCGTCACGTCACCGTCTAATCCCCTCCAACATGCCCACATCCCGCGGCCTCGATGGACGTCTCCGGACCTAATGCACCAACCCCACCTTCCGCATCCGTGCCAACCCCTGTTCCAACTCCCACAACGCCCACCCTCACCACGGCTGATCCGAATTTCCGTGTCCTGCCTCTGTCGACCATCGCCACCTCCACCAACCCTGCCGAAATCGCCTCGACGACGAACACCTCTATCATCCCTGCCGCCCACCGGAACGCTCCCGACGACCCGTTAACCGTTAGCACCATCATCAGAACCCCACCTCAGGGCAGGTTGCCGTAAGTTGGCTGTTTGCTTGTGAGAGAGCTAAGCGTCCGTTCAGGAAGAGCGTCAGTCGCGATGTTTTGTTTTTGTGGGAGTGCATGTCTGTGTCCGCAGGAAGGGGTGACTAGCTGAGTGTTGGTCGTGTGATCGGACGGATTAGGGGAGGACAAGGGGGGGGCGCATACTAACAAGGGCTCACGGGTCTCAAGTCAGAGCGTTCGGCGCGCGTGAGGTTATGAAAGCTTGTGAGGGCAGCCGAGAGTCACGGCAGGTGCACAACGGGTACCCCAGTTCTAGCCGGCGGGGGTGGCCGTGTGTCAGCGGTTGTCGCGGCCATCGATCGATAAAACGGAGCCGGAGAAAAGGGGGACTGGAGCGGCTGCTACAGGGACAGTGTGGCAGATGTGGCACAAGTCTGCTATCACTAAAAGCTAATTCACGCGCAAGTAACCATCCCCGACCTCAATCTGCTGAACACGGTAGACAACGCCGTGTGAGTGGGAGTGGGATAGAGTGAGGGGGAGATAGGAGGAGAGAGAAACAGAGGGTCTGGCTGATTAACTGACTATATAGCTTTGGGGGAGCGAGTTCAAGTTCTTTGTGCTTGAATTGTGGGCTGCACTCCTGTGGTTGTCTGGACGCGCGGTGTGCATATGTCCTCATTTGGTCAAATTATAAAAACAGCGTGTCTGGAAACACTCAGGGAATGTGGAAAGCATTGATGCCCCAGGGTGCTGAAGAGGGAAGTTTTGGACGTAATTATGGCGGCTGACCCCATGACTAAAACAACAACTATTAGTAATAATTACAGCAATACCAAGGATTCGAAAGTTAATGCAGCTTCCAGATCTAGTCATCAGTCATCGATAAATCTGCCGTGTGTCCCTTCAGGTGTTCCGAACACGCTGTTAAGGCAATTTTTGAAAGTTGTACCCTATTTAACATTGAAGGAACTGGGGTAGGGCATACTGGTCGCTTCGCATTTCCTACGAAATTCCTTAATGTGGAGAACATTCGGTAAGATGTGGTTATGTAGCCCCACCTGATTAACACAATACTGCTGGGGTTGCGGTTAGGGGAACAATTTCTTAACCACTCAAAGTACAACCGTGCATTCCCAGTAACTTTTTTGCATACAACTACTTGACCTCGTCGCCTGTGCGCTCTCCGGCTCCACCTGTAAAACCCCTATTACAGCCGGTCCCGTATTACAGATGGCCGAGATCTGTTTACTTGAGATGGGGATACATAACCACATCTGACCGTAGATTCTATCATTCGGACGCAATTAACAAATCGGTTAGACAAACTAGGGAAGTAGTTTATTTAAGAGCAGTCATCAAAGGCCGCGGTGGAGATTGATTACGGTGGATTCAAAGACGAGACGAGAAGCTTACCACCAAAATACATCAATTTGGCACGCATTCCTGTACGTCAAGTTCATTATGGAAGCCGAGAGTCGCTTTAAAACGCCACAGGCAATTGGAGTCGCCGAGGGACGAGGTGAAAAATTGGACGGAAATTGATGACGCGAAAGATCCGCTGCCATGACAAAAACGCATCGAATTCTGGATTTGGACCGAAACAACTGCGGGCAAAACAACCGGTTTGGTGAGACGGAAATACTTCTTCAGACGCGGACGCTCGAACACACATCATCACTACCAAGAGTAACACCAAATCTCAAGTTGCGGATCACTCTACGGAACGCAATCACAGCAGTGAGTTAAACGACGCCGACGTCACCGCGAGAAGTGAAAATTCAACGAGTCCCGACTTCCCTGGGTCACAGTTCATCGGCCCATTATCCTTTAGCAAGAGCGATGTCCGTCCTTCTCCTTATTCAGTGATTAGACTTTGTCCGAGCAGGACAGTCAAACACGCATGGAGCAAACCGGCGAATACTGCCAGCAATATTAGTACGGCTGAATCTAATTTCCTAGTCATTGCACTAATCATCGACAGCGGGGACAGACTTGCGGCAGTTAAGTTTTGGATTCAGACTTTCAGATGAGTAAACGGGATGTTATCGACAAAGACAAGGGAGACTGGAATGGCCATTTCTAGCTTATTAGCCGGCGTCAGCCAGTCATACCCAACCCCGAGGTGGGGGACACCTGAGGCCCGAACTCGCGACCTGTTTGTTAGAATTCCACGCCTCTAACCAGTGAGCTCAGGACTCAGTCTGACCGCCACATCACTAGCCTCAAAATTAGCCAGTCGATTGCGCTCTTAGTCATGATGAAACGCCATTGCGAGCCCTGACATGATAGCAGATGAGCCAGTTATGAACTGCCCAAACGATCGTGTCTGAACGTGACGCCACTAGCGTACTTTGAAGAACATGCGGGACTCCCTAAGCGTTTGCCTCAACGGCTATCAACTCGGAATCTGGATGGATATCCGATTCGCCAAACAGTGGTAGCAAGAAGAGTGGAGGTGCACAAGTCCCCTGCTCCAGTGTACTCATCGAATTCTGCTATATTTCACAGAGCAGATGGATGGACAGAAGGCTATTACTGGTAGTCTCTTAGGCCTGTTACCGCGAATGCATAAATTTCACATTCAGATTTCTACTTATCTGGCAACTAGCTTTTCAAAAAAGGACCACTCACCTTCAGTGGGCGCACCGTCTAGTCATCAGCGGACCAGTGAAGAGGCAGCTCCTGCCTGCTCGTGGTCCTTATCTTCCCTATTCGGACGACCAGCCAGTGGTCAATCGGCAACCACAGAAAGGAAATCAATAGGCCTCTGCAAATGAAGCACGGAGAATGACAGGCAGGACGAAACATTCAGCTACTTCTTCCTGCCGTCACTAGAGCCCACGCACCTCAGAAGGAGCAAGGGGTGGTGTCACTTAGAATGGAAAGAGCACATGCACACCAGTTGGGGGGATTGTTTATTTTGTACAGTATAACCAGAGAAGAGGTCGGAAGCAGTTGGCAGCCAGAGAGATGTGTCACCTGCGCCGGCAGAACAACGCCCCTAGTGTGAGTCAGGGAATGCGTCAAAGCCAGGGCACTTCTGATTGGGCTTTGAATCTGATTGGCCAGTTGGAAAGCCGAGTGGGCGAACTTCAGACAGCCCTGGTGCACACATGCAGGCACTCATGAGAGTCCCAGCGTTGCGACCGCCGCTCGGGGTGGGGCCACGACTGACACATTAGTGACATGATTGACGGGACGATCAGCCGTCTGTCCTGACCCTCACGGACCCGTGGACCCTTTTAGGCACTTCCCCTCATTGATATGCGACGCCTGCGAGAATTCCGTACGCTCCGCTCCCTATCTCCAAAAAGACTTACCCGTTTAGTCAGCACCTTGCTCAGCCAGCACATACTCAAAGCCTGTCCAACTGGATCCTTGACTTCCGCCCGCCATGCGACATGACTCGCGCTGGGATCTGTATTGGGATGGTGTACAATAGACCTCGTCCACTTTCTCCAACATAGTCAGGGCTTTGTGTCTAGTGGCAGGCGCATTGATCAATCCGACTCAATCCCCCTATTCGTTGCGTGACTCGAGAGACTGGCCGACTGCGAGAGTATGTCAGGGATCATTAGCCAAGCCCCTAACCGCCTTATAGATTCGCAGATAGCGTGACAGCTCCTTCCGCCTACACGACAACAGCCTCCATGTGTCCCTCACGCAGGTGAGCAAACTACGTATGTCCTCAATAGACTAGATGCAGAATGGGCAAAAAAACGACCGGCAAGAAGTGATTTCCAAACTCTGCGTTGAACAGGGAAATGAGGAAATTCGTCGTCCACTGGCTAATGTGCTCCACAGTCCATTCGTGTAGTGAACATTGAAAGAGAGGTAAGTGTACCTGGTCGGCGTCCCTCAGGTTAGCCGCCAGGATAAACTTTCATGATGGGTGATAGTTCCGCCGTCGTTGCCGATGATGTCCGCGTTTCGAAAATACGTCATTGGGGTACCCGATGTCTGATAGGGAGGCCTTGATGTTCATAACCGTAATAAATAAATAACAAGGTTTGTGGGCGAGGAGCTCGTTGACCTAGTCAAATTGCAAGACAGCATACAACATTTATTACTACATTCCAGCTCCAATAATCTGTAGATATTACCGACAGAGGCCAGAGGAATCGAAAAGGCCACCTTTTTAAATTTTGGCCATTGCCTGTTAGCGGTACTCCAGCATCGGAACATGAAGATCGGCGGAATGAATCAGTAATCAGTTGAACATCTGGCCCTTCAGAGGTGGTGGGGGGAGGGTTTAGACCCGAGGGGTTAGGGCAGAACGGGTAATTTGCACTCGACTAGACTAGTGAATGACTTCTGGGGTTGCTTCGGACACTCTCTACTGCTACTTAATTCCTTGGGCGTCTGACACAATCAATCAATGAAATAGGATCTGAACCTCAAAGGTTTCAGATCCGATGCAATAATGTGTCCTGTAGGGAATGGAGTTGTTACTTTCTGCTAGTTTATGTGCTGGTTGGTCAAACCTGTATAATCTATTCGTGGAGCTTCAAGCCAATTATTCTCACTAAATTGGGAGTCATGACCCAACCAATCCGTCATCATGGACGTGAGCATATGAGCGATGGTTCGGAATGACCCAGAGGCGATGGCTTATGCAGGCGTCTGCGTAGACGCCCATTGGGTTGGTTGCGTCAATGTCCGCTAAAAGATCCCAGCTAGCTAATTACAGGACCGAACCAATGCAATATAAGTAGAGAACAGATTTTGCAAACTTTCATTTTGCAGGCACGAGTTCTAATTGCCAGACAAATCCATTAATTTAACTTTTACTCCTTCTCCCGAACTCCAATCTCCTTTTTTATTTATCGGCAAGGCTCCCCGTTTGCTATTTTCGTCGAAAAATTTAATGGATCGGTGTGATAGATAGGTAAGTATTTTGGACGGCTCCAACGTCATATGCTACTAATCAGAGACTGGAAAACCTAGATTTCAGTTCTTGTCCTCATGTGAGTCGCATGCTGCCGCTTTGGTTGTCAAGGCAGATTGTGTGGCGGTTATTAAATTCCGGGTGTT